CCCCAAAACCCCAAAACCCCAAAACCCCAAAACCCCAAAGCTACATAAAAATTGAAGCCATCACTTAACACACAAATTTTAAGGAAATCAGTTCCTCCTTACTTCGATTTATTACAAAAAAATAGAGATTAATGGTATGAAGCTTACATGACTACATAATTCAGACTTTCTAGCACAATACAACCCTAATGTACAAGTCTTTTAAGACCAAGCATTAGTGGGTCTATGACAGCTCTCTGGGCTTCCATATGCTAGTTTTCATGGCATAAATTCAGCCTTTAAAAGATCCAATGGACTAACTTTTCCTTTAGAGCATCAACCCATTCACACATAGTGCACTTGATAAATTAGCAGGTAAGTCTTGAGAATTTCAGGAACAGATTAGAGCTAAATCTAATTATTTCTGATATAAATTTGTCTGAATTTAAGGAAAATTTGCCTATTTGTGAGCTAGAACTTTATAAAATACACCTTGTGTCAAAAACAGTTACAAAATCTCACCTTTACATCATTTTTCCAATAAAGAATGGGTTCCATTTCCCAAACTTCTCTGCTTGATTTTGTGTCTAAGAGGATAGGTCTAAGGAGAAGCGGGGCTCTAGCTGCTTCTCTCTCCTTTGTGTGCTAAATATGTCAAAAACATACAAGATCATAGCTCCGATGTAAAAGATTCGGATCTTGAATTTTTGACATAAAGTGATCATTTTATTTCTAGACGATACTTTTCTTGGCATTCTCCTAAGCTTAGATACGAAATAACAAGACTAAGATGGCTCTGAGACAAGAGCTATCCATTTTTGTTCATTTTGTGCTCGTCCATTATTATAAAGTCGATATTATAACTTTGAGTGAAAAACATCAAATTTCTATTACAAAATTATTTTTCTATAAGTCTGGAATATTTACTGCGCAGAAAATCTTCTATGATTTTGGAGATTGGATGGATGCTTTGGTCTGAAGTTCCTGAGTAATAGTCATCCCAAAAGGATTTACCAGGCTGACAAAGAATAAATAGATTACGTTAATAAAATTAGCAACTCCTTTGTTAACAAAAATGTCCCATTGCTGCTTTTCATTAAGACCTTTGACACAAAGTGTCCTTGATTGCTGAAGTTATTTTTAATTGATGCTAACTCTGAAATAGATTCTATATCATTTGAACCTATCAAAGACTGGACCGCAGAAGTACATGCAATCTTTGAACTGTAAGTTCTTAAAAAGATATCATCTTTGTAACAAAATCTTGGCTGCTGATGAGGAAGAGAGTAAAGCAGTCTTTGCAGTAGGCTTTGTTGCAAGCTTCTCTCATAAGTAGCATATCTTACTGCGAAAATGCTTTCTATAAAATTATTCTAAATGACAGACTATGGTCATCAAGTTATTAATTTTATGTAAAAATTTCCACAAAATTTTCCACAAAACGGATCTAAAATTTTAAATTTAGGCCTTCTGAGACAGCTGCCAGTGTTGAAGAGCCAAACACACCAAAGAAGGTGCAAAGGGGAGCCAGTCTTTCCGGCTCTGAGACTAATGGTAAGTATTTGCTTTATCAACCATTAACTTGCTCCATAGAATCGAGCAAAAAGATTACCTGCGAAGAAGATATTCAGAGCTTTGAAAAGTTCAACATGTAAGTTTACTTTTTCATAAAATTTTGTAAGAAAAGGTTTTAACTTGGAAATATAGCCCTGTGAAGGGAAAAGACGTTAGCAAAAGAAGCAACTACTCCCCCATTATTACAAATATCTTAATGAAATGGCTGCTTGAAAATGAAGAGTATCCATACCCCAATAGACATGATAGGTAAGCTTCACCCTATGCGATGGTCTAACTTTGAGCTATAGAGAGGCCTTGTGAAAGAAAACAGGTCTTACGAGAAAGCAACTCAGGATATGGCTCATCAATGCCAGAAAGGTAAGCTTAAGTTTATGGATCCTTACAAGTTGAGATTCTTGGTTAAATGCTGATTAATTAACTTGAAATACATTTTCCAAGCATTGCTCACAAAAGCTTTTCTGGAAAGACTTATCTTCGTCAAACCATATCCTCTTAGCGAAGCAAAGATATTAATTTTCTCTTTAAAATGACTCTCATTTCCCACTATAGAGGAAGATTAAGAAGACTACTAAAAATCCAAAAATCAACTTAAAAAAATCAAAATCCAAAAATCCAAAAACCAGAGCAAACAGGAGCTCCAAACACCCCCATTCCACCCACCTCCCCGACCCCACTCTCTCTCCTACCCTCTCTACATCCCCTCCAGACCTGACCCAATACTGCTTCTGTCAATCTCCCCTATCATCACCTTTGCCCTCCCTCCGATCCATCTTCTTCTAACCTAAAATCCCTTTAATTCAACTGTGAGCCTGCCAAACGGGGTTTTGGGGTTTTGGGGTTTTGGGGTTTTGGGG